CGACGAAACAGTTTGTCACAGCCCCTCGTTTGTTGTCCTCTTCTCCCTCTCTGCCTACGGTTTACCGGGCAGTTCTATTTGACTATATATATATCCTCTTCTCTCTCTCTGCCTACGGTTTACCGGGCAGTTCTGTTTGTGACGATATATATACATATATATTATTATTATTATTATTTTTTCGAAATTATTCCCCCTTTTTTCCTTGCGCAGGGGCCATGCTAATCTTCTCTGCATCGTTCCAATTTTAATGGATGTCCCGAAGGACTATATGGAATTATGAATTGATTTTGATTAAAAAAAAAGAACTATTGACCTCAGGACTGTTTTCTTTTGTGGATGCGCCTCTAAAACTCCGCAACTGACTTTTAACCGCACAGCTTGACTCTTGCCAAAGGTTATGGCCCAAAGACTGTTGCATTGTTGGTTTTGAACGCTGATCCTTTCAGTCCTGCCGTCTTGATTTCGAGTTCGATTGCAGAAATTTCATTCTTCAACTTCTGCTTCCATGATTCTACTCTTCTGATAACCAGCAACTATTTGAGGAGCAGGTTGTTCTTCTCGGTTACTAAACCATCTTCTCTTTTTCTTTTGGTCGAAGAAGCCAGTCAAAAATCCACACAGACGTAGTCCAGGGTCGTCACTTGTGGTCTGAGTCTAGATTTTTTTTTCTTCTTTTTCTTTGGGACCATTTCTCGATTTATGTGTGTCGTTCCGTGGTGATCTTCTCTGTGTCATTCCGATTGAAACGGATGTCCCGAAGAAGGACGTGTTGCATTTATTCTACGGCTTCTTTTTCTCCTTTTCCCGTGCTTCGTGGAAGGCCTTTCACTTCAAAGTTCATACTATTACTTATCCTCTTCCTGTTTTTTCTCAGTTCTGTTTCTGACTGTGCAGTATTTGCATCGATCTGTTTCAGATCTTCTTGAAATGATTCCAATCTCTGCAGTATTCAACAGCTTCTTTCCGATTTCCTCCCCTCCCTCTACTCCATCGTGCCCATCTCTTCTTCCGGTCCTTCTGATGTTATGATGCTACTCATCTTCTTTCTCTAGGGGTTCGGAGGATTCCGCAGAATATGCTTCAATGGTCTTTCTGGCTCACTCTCATCACATTTCAGCCCTCTCCGACTGGTGACTGTGGGTTACTGTGTGGGTTTCCTGACCACCCACCCTCAGCATATTCCATTAATTCTGGCTGTCTGATCCGAGGAGTGGGCCTGGGATGGTTCTCTTTCTGCTGCTCCACTGGGTGTTTTTTTTTTTTCTCTTTTCTCTCAGCAGCGTTTTCTTTTCTCTTTCTATTCTTTCTGCCTTTGCCTTTTATAAGCATTCGTTTGCCTCTTGCGTTTTCTGTGCATCCAATCGTGTTATAAATTATAATCCTTCTGTCATCTGTCTCGTCAGCATACCACCCACCCGTGGGAAACAGGGAAAACGAATCTGAGAATGAATCTAGCCAGCATAGGCTGTTCCGTGCGTTCAAAGAACAATGTGAAAGCCATTTCACTAACTGTTTGTGTGCGGCACAGCACTCAACTACTAATAACTGGTCAGCTAGCGTTGTGTTCCGGATCCTTAAAAGATTGTAGGCACTTAATATCACGAAAGGACTTCAAACAGGCTTAATCCGGGTCTTATATTGAAACGGTATTCACCAGTTCGCAGTAGCTGATGCAGATCCCAGGGCTTGATCCCTAGTCCCCACCTTACCTGTGTACAGTATCCGTGTCGACCCCTAGAGTTGAACCCGTGACCTGTGTATTTGTAACAGCTGGTAGACTGTCGTAGGGTCTATAGGTAGCAGGGGTTCGATCTGTAGACCTGTCGAGTAGGAGTCTCAGTCAGGTCTAGAAGTCGTAGCTGTAGCTTTCTCGAAGAGTCAAGGTCGTAGCTGCTACAGTCCAGAAAGGTCAACGTCGTAGCTGCTACAGTATCGAAAGGCCAAGTCTACGGCCTTCCGGAAGGTCCGAGTAGTGGCCTTTCGAAGTTGCCCATGTTTAGGCTGAGGCAAGTGGGCAAGTGGTGAGGCAAGTGGTGGAGTCTACCCGTGCTGAGTCAGCAGTCCCAGTCCCAGTCAGTCCTGGTCCAGTCAATCAAGTACCGCATGGGACTGTGTGCACTACGGGCATGGGAAAGGGCCAGACCAACGAGCTGCAGAAGTATAAATCAAGAGGCAGCGCCCAGTCATTCATTCATTCCTGCGTGAGCCATGCGGAAGTGCTGCCACAGCGACTTGTGCGAGGTGGTCTGCAGTGAGCCCGAGGACGAAGTGGGCGAGAGAGAAGGAGTGTAGCCATAGCGATAGGGTAGTAGTGGCCATAGCCGCCATAGCTGTAGATAGAGTTCAGTGTATGAGTGTGTGTGTGTTCAGAGTATCGCGTGTGGGATATCCAGGGTGATCCTGTGTATGCGAACAGAGAGTTGTGTGGGCGCTAAGTCGCCATAGCCATCGAAGTGAACTTGAATCTGAACTGTGTTCTCGGTTACCATATCTCTGAGTTCTGAGTGGGCGCCTGTCGCCAGTTTGCTGCGCACCTGTTTGCATGCATGAGAGTGTGAATGAAAGCGAGTCTGATTGCAATATTAGTGTGATCGAATTAAATCTTGCTGAATCCTGCCTAATTGTCTCTGAATTTCGCCTTGATTACGACTAAAGACAGATGTGCAGCACTCAATGAAAGACTAGTCTTCCTCCATGCAGAGTGCTGACACTAATACTATCTATGATCTACCTGATAATGCACTGACTAATTGATGCTGACCCACAATCAAAGAATATGGGCCTCGCTCCACCGCAAAACATTCTACATGTATCTGAAGCTGGAAATGGTCCCAATACATGCAAAATGTTTGGTCAGTCCAAAGTTACTCCGAACGTATGTGGTCCCGTGCTTAGTCCAGATACGTGTCGAGCGTTGAGTAGTTGAGCGAGGCCCTAGTCTGCAGTACGAAGACTTAATAACTACAGCCAGTCTGATCACGCTCTTCACCAAAAGTCAGCGGTATTTCTGAGCAAATGACCAAGCTGCAATAACTGAACTCAAATCTGCGTCAGCCGTGGGCTGAGGGTCGTCTCTTTTGGTCGAAGGCCCGAAACGGGGGCCAAAAGTCACGCCCAAGTCATGGAAAATGCCTGAACGAAAGTCTGACGCTGTGGGGTACCCATGACAAGTTTTCAAAACTGGCCTTCAGAGGCCCTAGGGGAGACAGTTGACCCTGGGAAAGTCAACAGCCCACCCCAGCTCGGGAACTCAGGCCCAGGAGTCAAAGTCAAAGTCAATCCGTTCCCAGCCTCGCCCATAGATCAGATACACATCTTTGGTTGTCTGCAGGTATCCAGAAGAATCCGGTCCAAGTGGGAGACGTGAGAAATCTGCAACTGTACGCAATCCAGGCCATTGGCTGATGACCGATCTGGGCCCTCGTACCCAGAAGACCAGAGGCTGGTCAACGCGAGTGACCCAGCCCCTGCCAAAGGTCATTCGGTCTTGTGCGTGCTGCTGGACGCTGGCTTGACGCTGGTGCGACAACGTGAGACTGCTGAAGCTTTATGCTGGGGCCATTCTCTGTCTGCGGCACCAGCCTTGTGAGTGATTATGCTGACGTAGTGGCCACACTGATTCCGACATTGATGGAGTGTGGGCGAGGAGGAGGAGGATCAGGGCTGTGAGATTGGCTCGATAGTTGAAGGGAAGATTACCTGATTGATCGCATCGACACTGTGCTTTGCTGATAGTCTTCAGAGGAAGGATCTGCGCCATCCGCCCTGGGCGCGGCTGACGTGGCTGGAGGATGGGTGCGCATATTGTAACCTTCTTATTGTCAGAGATCGTCAGGGAGGAACCGATTGCTGACGTGGCGAGTTGGGAGACAACGCCCGAAGAGGACGCGGGCCAGCGAGGGGTCTCTACTCTACGCTGATGGTGGAAACTCTCTCTCTCTCTCTCACCCTCTGGGTCTCTTCTCCCTCTCTCCTCGTCTTCCTCTCTGCATTGGGATACCACGTGTACAATGAGTATGGTTTCGGGAACGATTTTTGGAGATATTGATTCTGCGCTATGACAACTTGTATCTCGACATGGACGAACTTCTCGTCTGACTGGGTTCATTGCAAAGGTAATACTAATCATGGATGGCAGGCAGGCAGGCAGGCAGGCAGGCACATCGTTACACAGGTACAGGTACCTCATCTCCCTTTAAAGCTTAAAGCTCGCTTAAGACATCTGGAGAATGCGGAGGTGGGTAACGACTCGTTTCTCAAGAATTACCTCGCCGATTGCTCGCATTCAACCTATGGACAGTCGCCCCATCAACCATGGCCAAGCGCATTTTCGTCATCTGAATCTGTGCGCTCACCGCTTGGCCAGACCTAAGTTCATGCACTGTCTGCTGCGCATCCGCGCAGCATTGTGCAGACAGTCCACATGCTGCTGTGTCATAAAAGGCAAACCAACATTTTAGGGATGTCATCGACAGAAGCAGAGAGATGCTCTGAGGGATCCTGGATGTAATTGTGAAAAAGAGTTCAAGAGGATGAATGGTCTGATGTGAAACAAAAGACGATGGCTGAAAAGACAGTGACCTGCTGCCTTCTTTTTCCCTGAAAGGAGGGGACTGCAGACATGCTGGCTGTAATTGACAAGAAGGGTTAAAGAGGCTGCATGTTCTAGAATGACCTTAGAATAGTAGCAAAAATGCGAAAAACAAAAAGAAATTGACTGAAAAGTTGAAAACTTGAAAAGATTCAAAAGACAGTGATCTGCCTTCTTTTTCCCTGTCAAGAGATTTACTTCTCTTGAAAGGGAGGAAAAAAAAAAGGGAAGCTGAAAGGTTGTGGAAACCAAATCAATGTAGAACAAACTCAATCGAAGTGCTTTTTCATTTTTTTGTATTTGATTATTTTGATTAATACTGTTTTGTTTCCGGCGGCCACCCTCTAACAGGCTCTGGCTGGTCTTTCCCCCCCCCCAAAAAAAAAGAAAAAGTATTCAAAATTCAAATCATTCAATATATTTATGTGATTCGGCCTCTTGGCCATGGTTCAAATCCTCCTTCTCGCCCTCTGGTTTACAGCATGCCGATGGTCACCCCAGCAAGTTGGGGAGAGGATGCATCAGGGATAATTAACAGGAGAGGGGCGCATCCGAACAAGAAGAATTGGGCCAGGAATCCCTCTGAGGTTCCGTGATCGCTGTGGCTGCAAAGAGCTCTCATCTACCATCTTCGGCCAGCAGTACCTGTCTCCTTCGCTGCCATGCCGTGTTGTTGAGCTCTCGCGCAAAGAGCGGCAGCGAAGAAGAAGAAACATATTGCAAGCACTGAAGGAGGAGACAAGTGGGAAGAGCACAAAGGAAGATGTGGATGAATACACACGGAAGTTCGGATTAGAGGCAGGGCTTTGGAAGGTGAGGGGCTCACACCACTCATCCACCTTCACCGAGCAGTCATAACCTTGGCCAACTTTGCGCTTGATAATCTTATAGGATCCCATAACCATGAGCCAGTGCTAGAGAGGAGATAGAAAAGGGGAGAGGAAGAGAGAAAGAAGAGGGGGGAGGAGGGGGAGGTGAGAGACAGACAGATAGACAGACACAGACGGACAGAGACAGAGAGAGAAAGAGAGAGAGAACAATCCAACTTGTCTTTTGGTGTGGCATCGCATTGTGTAACCTTGTGCTGGTGCTTTTTTCTTGTGTGTGTTAGTGAGATAGACAGAGAGACAGAGAACAGAGAGACAGAGAGACAGAGAGACAGAGAGACAAAGAGAGCAGCAGAGAAATAGAGTGACAGAAGGGGGGGGGAGGGAGACAAAGAGAAAGGCATATAAGTGGCTCTATAGTTCGCCTTTCGTCACATTCTGCATGGTCGTTGCACCTAAAGCATACTTATGGCTCACCACATATGCTGTACCACATTCGTCCAGTGCGCGTTTGGACTGGAACTATGCACTGGAATTTTATTTGGTCTGATGACTTTATGAAAAGCCTTTTTCACAAAAGAAAAAGAAAAGGGGGAATAACTCAAACACACTCTTGTATTCATCAGGACTCGAATGGATGATCCGTTTTTCATCAGTCGCAGGAGCGTGCCATTCAGCCATGAGGCAGGCAAGTCTGTAAAGCTCAACAACTAGTTTCATACTCCTCCCCTACACCCCATCTTCCAACCACCTCGCCCTAATTCTGCAGCAGGCCTTAGTGCACTTCACACATGCATGGCATGATATGAACCTACTACAGAGTAAGTATGTTGCGTAGAGACAATAATGTCAATATATTTTTTTAGCTTTTTTTATTATTTTTTTCCTTCTTCTTTCGATTGTCCACTGGACTGAGCTGCTAACGCAGATATTCACTTCGAAGGGGGACATCTCTGGAGATGGTAAATCCGAAAAGAAGAATCAGGCAAAAGAGTTACTCGCACGATATGGAGGGGGGGGCTATCTTGTGACGTCCACATCCCTGTCCTTGGTATCAATTACAGTCTGCTATGCGCTGCTCAATGCAGGAGTGGATGTCGCCAGCCTGCTTGCTAAGGTAAGTACTTAGTTTATGGACTTAGCCTGCTTGCTAAGGTAAGTACTTAGTTTATGGACGTAGCCTTCTTGCTAAGGTAA